TGATAATGCTCCAAACTCTTTAACTGATCCCATTTTCCAGCTCTTTCTGTCCTATTTCTTCCCTTATCCCATTCATCCTTCACTGTGTTGAAAAAAATAAATCCTTGGATTAAAATTCTGCCAAAACCACCTGGAGGTAGAAAAGCACAGTGGGTTTCTCACCCACACACAGGAGCTCCAGAAGGTTCTTGGTGTGCAAACATTGACCTGAGTGCCTGAACTTTGTGAAATTGTGATAAATATCTTCTGTGGGAGACCTGCTGAGCTCTGAAAGGCTGTTCATGCATAAAATCAGAGATCCTGGCTCTGCCTTATCCTTCAGAGGCTGAAACCTCGGAATAAAATGAGACTTTTCTGCCTTTTTAAAATGAATATTAATAGTACAAAATCTAGTTTATAGCTCAGGACTTCCCAAGTGCAAGAGAAATATTGAAATATTTAAGGCAACAACAGCAAAATTCAAATTTGCTTCAAACAAAGTGTGTGGGATCAGAACCCCTGTGTTTAGTCAGTAGAAAAATGGGGTTTTATGTGCTTGGGTTTCCTGGATAAATTGCTTGGTGGAGGAGTGCTGGAAGCAGCATCTTCAAAGATTTAACTGTTAAAAGGTCTGGTTAATCTGTGTTGAGGATTTGTCTTCATTTTCTAAACTAATAACTAATGAGTTTGCATGAGAATTAAGGAAAAACCGCAGGGCACAAAGCTGAAAGTATTTTTATTGCCTTAGAAATTATAGGAACAAAAGGGGCACCCTGGGCTTGTGCACCTGAAGATTTAAACCTTTTCCAAATTCAAGTTTATCACTTGAGCTTTGGAATGAGAGCAGCTTGTTTTGCTGATTTCCTGAGAGTTTATCCAGCTTTTTTGACTTTCTCTGTGGATACAAAATGCTGTCTGAATACTTCTTTCCGTGTTACTCCTCAGAACAAATCCCACCTTTCTTCATCTCCTTTTATTTTAAATTGTCATTACGCAGTTCCAAAGGAACAACTTAATAGCAGGTTATCCTCAAATGGACTGAAAAACATCACAAAACAACAGGCTCTGCATTCCAACCACTCTGAGCATTTTAGTGAATTTAACAGCTTCACTGCCTAACAACCAGAAGGTTGAAATAATTTTATGTTGTGTGAAAAGCTCCCAAAGCTTTATGCACAGCACAGCTCGTGCTGAAGGGACAGGTGGATAAAAAGTGATTTTTCTCGGAGTTTTTAATTGTTCGCAGTCTGGAGCTGAGGTGTTGAATTTCAATGAGCAGCAATACCTGGCTCCTGTTAAATTTTAAACCTTCATTTGGAATGTGAACTTTATGGGGTGGATGAACAGGAAGAGGTCTAAGGTTCATTTGAGCTGTCCCAAAGGGAGTTTGCACGTGCTGTTCCCAGCACCGCTGGCCTGGGACAGCCTGGGAATTCTCCTTGGGTAAGTTTGGTTCCATCTGCTCTGAAATGGGAATGTGGGTGAGAGGGTTTTCTATGAAACAAGAAATTAGAGAAATAATCCCTGCAATGCTTGCCCAAAAGGGGGAATTCCTCTGGCAGAGGAGGGTAAATGTGGTTCCCCCTCTGCTCTCTGGGCCACAATGAAGCTCAGAAGTGCAAGAAAAATATTTATTTGCTTTAGGAATGTGTTGTTCTTATCCAGCTGTTGATTTACAGCTGGGAGCCAATACAGAATTCTCCTTCCCTTCTTGCAGGAGTTTTGTGCTTTCCCAAGCCCAGCCTCAGAGGCTGATTTCTGTATTGGTTTTTCAAGGATTTTTATAACTATTGATCACTAATTTCACTTTCCTGAATGCTTCAGCCTGCTCTCCCCTCTCCCATGACTGCAGCAATGTTCTGGGGAGGCACAAAGAGTGGGCAGTGCCAGGTGATGTCTCCCAAATGCCAAATGTGTCCCCAAGCCAGGTGCTGTGCTCTCAGAAAGGTCATTTTCAATAAGGTGGAGCCCTTGATGGCCTCAGAGAAGCAGCTGGTCAAAAGAAGGTGGCTGAGGAAAAAATTAAATGAAATTTTGATTAATTGGCTTTTTATTCCTTGTAGAAAACTGCAAATTCTTTGGCAAAAACAAAGAGTCCCTTTATTTGGTTTAATTATCAAGTACACTTCATGGAAATGTGCTATTGCACATTTTGGTACCCAAAAAAAATGCACTTTTGGTACCCAAAAGTTTTCCCCAAAATAGATGTTACTGGATAAAGTTGCTCTTTGGAATGAAAAGATGTAATTTTGTGGAGGTTTATTTTATCCCATATTTATATTTCTGGGATGTTTTACATCGATGATTTCTATTTCTGTGTGCAGTGCAGCAGAGCTGTGACTGCAGGCAGTGATACATAATTAAATTAGCTGGATTTAACATTTCCATCCTGCCAAGAGAGAAATTTACCCCAGTCTGAGCTCCCAGACAAGTTTGTGCTGCTGCTTTGCAGTGATTTCAGAGCCAGCAGAGCAGGGGGGGGTCTGGCCAGGAGCCCCTCCAGCCTTCCCTGGAGCAGGAACCCTGAGGAGCCCCTGGAGCTGCCACAGGGGGATCCAGGAGAGCTCCACAGGATAAATGTGTAGGAAATTCAATTATCACCCACAAAGCGCCCATTTCAGCGGGGACAGTGACATCTTGTGGGCTCAGCTTGCAAGTCTGGCCAGGAATTCAGCGCTGGCCACTTCAAAAGTTGGTTTTTACTGCCCTTTTCTGCTTCTGCCCGGGACTGGGGAGGGTATAAACACCCAGCAGCTTGGTGTTGGAGTGTCTGCCTGTAAGAAATGATGAGATGCTGCCCAGGTGATGGGCAAGGTCACTTTTATATTTCAGGAAGTTCTCGGGAAAGTCTCTCACAGTGAAATTAAGAGACTCCTCGTGTTAGCTGTGAATCAGATTTAAACTTAATGCCTGCTGTTGGTTCCTCCTTTCAACCCCAAATGTGGAGCGTGAACCTTGTGTTTTCCTCCCTCTGGATTTACAGCTGAGTGTTCCAGAGGTCACAAAGAGGTTTTCTGTGATCTGGATTTGAAATTGAGTGTTCCAGAGGTCACAAAGATCTGTTTTTCTCCATTTGGATTTACAGCTGACTGTTCCAGATGTCACAAAGATGTTTTCTGTGGTCTGGATTGAAGCTGAGTGTTTTACAGGAGGTTACCCAGCTCTGTCTGTGTTTTCCTTGATCTGGATTTAAAATTGAGTGTTCCAGATGTCACAAAGATGTTTTCTGTGATCTGGATTTAAAGCTGAGTGTTCCAAATGAGGCCAATCAGCTCTGTTTATGTTTTCTTCCATCTGAATTTTAGATGAGTGTTCCAGAGGTCACAAAGATGTTTTCTGTAATCTGGATTTACAGCTGAGTGTTCCAGAGGTCACAAAGAGGTTTTCTGTGATCTGGATTTACAGCTGAATGTTCCAGAGGAGGTTCCCTTGCTCTGTCTGTGTTTTCCTTGATCTGGATTTAAAATTGAGTGTTCCAGAGGAGGTCAGACAGATCTGTTTTCTCTGATCTGGATTTAAGCTGAGTGTTCCAGAGGTCCCAAAGAGATTTTAAACTGTTTTAAACTGGCTTTAAGATGAGTGTTTCAGAGGAGGTTACTCAGCTCTATCTGTGTTTTCCTTGACCTAGATTTAAAGCTGAGTGTTCCAGAAGCTGCAAAGATGTTTTCCTCAATCTGGATTTAAGATGAGTGTTCCAGAGGTCACAAAGATGTTTTCTGTGATCTGGATTTAAAATTAGTGTTCCAGAGGTCCTAAAGCTGTTTTCTTCCATCTGGATTTAAACTGAGTGTTCCAAAGGAGGTCAAACAGCTCTGTTTGTGTTTTCCTCCATCTGAATTTTAGATGAGTGTTCCAGAGGAGGTCAGACAGATCTGTTTTCTCTGATCTGGATTTAAGCTGAGTGTTCCAGAGGTCCCAAAGAGATTTTAAACTGTTTTAAACTGGCTTTAAGATGAGTGTTTCAGAGGAGGTTACTCAGCTCTATCTGTGTTTTCCTTGACCTAGATTTAAAGCTGAGTGTTCCAGAAGCTGCAAAGATGTTTTCCTCAATCTGGATTTAAGATGAGTGTTCCAGAGGTCACAAAGATGTTTTCTGTGATCTGGATTTAAAATTAGTGTTCCAGAGGTCCTAAAGCTGTTTTCTTCCATCTGGATTTAAACTGAGTGTTCCAAAGGAGGTCAAACAGCTCTGTTTGTGTTTTCCTCCATCTGAATTTTAGATGAGTGTTCCAGAGGTCAGAAAGATATTTTCCTCAATCTGAATTGAAGCTGAGTGTTTTAGAGGAGGTTGGACAGATCTGTTTCCTATGATCTGGATTTAAGGTTAGTGTTCTAGAGGTCACAAAGATGTTTTTTTTTTGTGATCTAGATTGAAGCTGAGTGTTCCAAAGGAGGTCAGACAGATCTGTTTTCCTCAATCTGGATTTAAGATGAGTGTTTTACAGGAGGTTACCCAGCTCTGTCTGTGTTTTCCTCAATCTGGATTTAAAATTGAGTGTTCCAGAGGTCACTAAGATGTTTTCCTCAATCTGAATTTAAGATTGAGGAAAGAGGAGGTTAGACAGATCTGTTTTCTATTATCTGGATTTAAACTGAATATTCCAGAGGTCACAAAGATGTTTTCCTCAATCTGGATTTAAACTGAGTGTTCCAAAGGAGGTCAGACAGATCTGTTTCCTATGATCTGGATTTAAAATTGAGTGTTCCAGAGGTCACAAAGATATTTTCCTCATACTGAATTGAAGCTGAGTGTTTGAGAGGAGGTCAGACAGATCTGTTTCCTATGATCTGGATTGAAGCTGAGTGTTTGAGAGGAGGTCAGACAGATCTGTTTTCTATGCTCTGGATTGAAGCTGAGTGTTTTACAGGAGGTCAGACAGATCTGTTTTCTATGCTCTGGATTGAAGCTGAGTGTTTTACAGGCGGTTACCCAGCTCTGTCTGTGTTTTCCTCAATCTGGATTGAAGCTGAGTGTCCCCAGGAGGTTCCCCAGCTCTGACTGTGCCTGTTCTGTGTTCCAGCAGCCAGCAGAGCAGCCAGCAGAGCAGCCACAACGATGACTCTGCCCGCTTCCTGAGCCCCTCCATGCGCGAGGACAGGTGAGTCTGTGCCCCAGTGAAACCTCACCTGCCGAGCTGCTTTCTTTTCCTTGTATTTCTCACAGCTGGTTAACAAAAAATGGGGTTTAAATTGGTCTTATCAATGTCTAAAAAGGTGCATTTTTCATCACCTTGAATGTGAGACAATGAATCCAGCCAGGATTTTTGTCTAAAAAGCTGCATTTTTCATCACCTTGAACATGGGACAATGCATCCAGCCCCTGAAAAAGCCAGAATTTCCTTTTGGGGGCTCATTCCCCAAACTCCAGCTGCTGCAGCAGCTTCATCAGACGTGCTGTGTGCTGGCAACTAGCACCTCTGATCCTTAAAAACCCACAAATGGAATTTCCTGAGTGGATCCTGTCCTCAGCAGACACCTCTGAGCCTGGTTGTTTTGTTCACTTTTGATGTGTTGTGGCAGTCCTGAACTCTAGATTTAAGCTGGGTTAATTTGTGTGCAGCACCTGGGTGAGAACTGCAGTGAAGTTCCAGAAGAAACTTTAATTTGGGTTGATTAATGACAGTTTCAAATTGCAGCATTGGCACAAAAGCTGTTGATAACTGATTTTTGGTGTTTATTTGGATGCATGATTTATGGATTTTGCTTTGCTCAGAGCCACATGATGAGGAGTTTTGCTGCATCTTGTAGGTCAACTTTTGAGCCTGAATCTGCTGAGTTTTCTTGTGCTGGCCATGAGCTGTGAGCCCTGAGTTATCACTGATTTATTTCCCTTGCACTTCTTAGAGCCATCTAAGAAGAAATGTGATTTATGTTGGTTTTAGAAATGTTAGATGCATTTTCCATCAGCCTGAAAGTGGGAAAATGCATCCAGCCCCTGAAACAGCAGGAATTGAGAGTGACCCTAAGGAGCCAATTAACATCTCATATTAAAATTCCATATCCCACGAGGGGTTTTGGCTCAGAATCAGCACTTGGGAGTTGCAGCTCACCTTCTCCTCCAATTACCCATCTCCCCATGGCGGTGGAACCTGGACTAATTAACAAAACATCCCTAATTGACTGACAGGTGACTGTTTGCAGCCAGGAAATAGAGTGGGACAGCAGAGCAGGGGGGTTCTGAGGGCATCACCTCTGGGTGAGGTGAAATTCCATTTCAGCTGGAATTCCACAGGTGAAACAGGGTGAGGATTTGTTAAAACATTTCTGGGTGTAGCAGCAGGGAATCATTTGGAAGTGATGCCCGCTTCAGATGGATTTTAAAGGGAGCATTTAGGATGGTGATAATATTTTCCTGGCTGGAAGGGGCTGATTTCAGCAGCACAGGCAGATCTCAAAACTATTTATGCAAAGCCAGAGCAATGCTGAGCCTGCTGACCTCTTATATTTAGGACCAGCAAAGTTCCTGCTGCCTAAATTTAATTACAATTAACTCCTATTTGCATGGATCCTAAATTTATCTATGTGAGGGATAGTACATTACCTTTTCTACTGGTGTTTTGGTCTCATTGCTGATGTAATTCCCTCAGCCTCCACTGGTGCAGTCTTCCTTTGGATATTGGTGGTTTGTGCTCATGAAACTTTACCAAAAAGTAACTCAAACACACTTTGTAAAGTAAGCTGAACAAGAATTAGTGAGAAGGCTGACAGAGCCTTTGAGAGCTTGCTGTCTGCTCTTATAAATAACACAGATTAAGGTTGTTTCTGAGGCATTTGAATCCTTTAGATCCCCCAGAAACTGAATGAGGAGCATTTCTTTTTGATACTTTTAGGTGGTATTTTTTTTCTACCAGTAACAAAGGGTCCTCCAAGCACAGATTTGAAGCTCTGAGTTTCTGTTTTGAAGAACTCCGAGGCAGTTCTGGTCACTTATCCATTGACTATTGTACACCAGGGCTTAAAAAAACCCCTAAAAACCCCACAGCCACCCAGGGTTTCATCAGAGCTGGAGGATGTGAGCAGAAAGGAGGGCAGGGAGCCAGGTGCTGTGCCTTGGGAGGTGCACCTTGCCTTGGCACGCTGCCCTGGCATCCCAGAGGAGAGCAGGAACAGGAGGAGCCTGGGATGCTCAGAGCAGGGAGCCAGCACAGCTGGGAAAGTGCTGAAAGAAGCTGCCCCAGCCAAAAGCAAAGGGCTGCTGAGCTGCTTCTGAGCTTGGAAAAAGGAGGGACACCCAGCTGAGGATGGCTGGAATCCTCCCAGGCAGGATCCTCACCAAAGGCACTGCTGGTGGAGCTCCCTTCCCAGCGAGGGATTCCCAAGGGAGCTCCTGGAGGTTTTAGGAGAAGGCTGAACATTCTGCCCTGCCCTGGATGCATCTGGGGCTCTCTGGCAATCCTTCCTCTGGAGGTGTGAGTGCTGCCTGCAGGGTTGGGAGGTGCTGCCATGGTCCAGAAGCCCTGTCCTGGCACAGCATCCTGTGTGTGCCACCCCTGCGTCTCCTCCCTGAGGAAAAAACTTTCCCTCTGCAAATCCATGTAAGTTCTGTCTCTGCCATGCCCGGGTTGTGCTGAGAGGGAGCCACACTTCATTTTGGGGTAATAATCTCCTTTATGGGTGTTTTTAGCTGGAAGAATTTAGTGGGATGTGCTGGAAAGAGGTTGGGTGTGAGTTTAGGGCTCGGTTCTTCGCTTGCTGATTGCCTGGGTGAGTCACTTGTGTCGCTGTTTATGAAATCAGGAGAATTCCTCCTCTACCTCACAGGAAAACAGAGGTGGGGAATTTAGTTTGAGTTGCTCAGATGCTGAAACACCACTTCTGCATAAGTACAAATTCAGGCAAAAGGTTCAAATGATTGTGCTTGAGTTAAAATAATTCCAGGGGTGGGTAAGGCTGGGATTGAGGCACAGATTTGGGTGAGATGTGTGCACATAAGACACCCCACAATTACTGAAAGGAGACAAATTTATGCATGAATTACCTTGAATTTCCACCAAATTAACCCCAGATTCATGAGCCTGTCCCTGCTTGATCCAAGGACTTGTTCTTTGTCTGAGGCACCCATCAGGTTTAAGGATGCAAAGTGTGTTTTAATTAAAAATTAAGCTACTGAACCAGAGGAAAAATTAGTCCTTAGATTCAGCCTAAGGAGGAGAGAAACTGCTGAGGAGAGGAGAGCATGGAAAGCAAGGTTGGAAATGGAGGAGAGGGAAGTGAGAGGTAGTTTACAAGAGATAATAAAAAAACTATTTACACAAAACCCCAAATAAATCAAAATTATTTACATTTACACTGCTGTAAATCCAAATGATTTACACAGAGATCATATCTAATGGAGGAAATGGGGAAGCACAGTTAACTTCAAGATCTCTGTCCCTGATATATCCTGCATGTCATTTTAGTTCCTTAATCTGTGCAGCTCCTAATTCTGCAGTTCCAGGGCTGCAGGGCTTGCTGTTGCTCTGAGCAATCTCATAAAGATTTCTCAAAGAATGGATCAAAATTCACCAGACAGCTTTCAAGGGAATTAGGGGAAAGTTTGCAACAGAGACAAGTTGAAGAAATTCTGTTGGCTGCTTGAATTTTCCCAGGAAGTTGTGGGGAGAGCAGAAAAGAGGTCAAAGTTTGAAAATGGATAAATCCCATATTATTGATGTTCTTAGGGCTTGTTTATTCTGCATCTGTCTCCCTCTGTCCTTTTCCCTTTGGCACAGCATTCTGAGCCCCTTTTCCTGCAAAGATCCAGCCCAGATCCTCGGCAGAAAAGTCCTGATCCACTCAGACCCCTGAGCAGCTTTCACCCCTCAGAGATGGATCATCTTCAGGGAGGTTTTTAAAACTCTTCTGCCAGGACTTGGAGGCTGCTGAGCTCTCACAGGCTCCCTGATCAGAGCCCTGGTGCTTTTGCAATCGCTTGGAATTGAGTTTGGATTTGAATCTAGCTCCAAACTCTGAGCCAGTTTGACTTAATATTAAATACAGAGTTTAACCAGACTGCTGGAAGGGGTTTTTTATTATAAAAAAGATGGTTAATATTTAGATTATGTCCCTTTTTTGCCCCTCTGGCTGACAAGAGCAGCTTAAGCTCACCTCTGTTCCCCTTGGGTTGTGAGCAGAGTCAGTGAATGAAAACACCACGTGCCCTCTGTTCCTCAGATGCCACCACTGTTCTTTTGGGGATTTTATTGAAAGTTCTGGACTTTTCTGGACTGGTTCTGACTCTTGTGGACTGGTTTAGCCAAGCTGAGGTCAGCCCTGCTGTGCTGTGCTGTCACTGGGTGCAGGGGAGGCCTGGCAGACATCAGCAGTGATGCTCAGCAACACGAGGAGGAGGTGCAGACGTGGTTTAATGCCCCTCTTTCTCCTCCTCTGAGACACTGGGCAGGCTCCTTACCCTCCCTTCCTCTTCCCAAGAGCAGAGGTTTGTTGTGGAGCCACACTTCACTTCCAGCCTGTGAGTAATGAGCACCCCATCAGCTCTGTGCCCTGGGAATGCTGGAATTCTCGGAATATTATAGTGCAGAAGAAGCTGGGATGTTTTTTGGGGCCTGTAACTTGCACATTTCTGTTATTTTCAATTACTCACACCAATTTCCATGGGAGTGAGTGACCCAAAGGTATTTCCCTGTGCTCCTGAGCCTCCAGGTGTGGCTCCCCTGCTTGGCAGTGCCCAGGCTTTGCCCTCAGCAGAGCCCTGCAGGGAGGCAGTGCCCGTGGTGCAGCATGGCTCCCATTTTAGCTTTGTTGCCCTGCTCAGGGCTGCTTTCCCAAGCAGTGAGGTGCCAACTGGCTGTGCAGAGCAGGGCTGCTCGTTGAGGGGATTAATTCAGATTTGTTCTGCTCGCTCCTCCTTCCGCCCGGTACCGAGCGCAGAGAAGGAGCCCCTTCTGAGAGGGGATGTGTGGCCACTCAGCCTGTTTGATTGCCTGAAAACGGTCCAGTTGTTGGCCTAATCAAGGCCAAGACCAGGAAAGAGAGACAAAGCCATTGTGGGCTCCTGTTGCAGCACTGAAACTTCAGTCCTGCTATAAAATTCACCATCACAGAGTCGCACAGAACTTAACTGCTCCCAGCTTCCCCCAGCCTGAGCTGAGGCTGTCAA